CACACACACACACACACACACACACACACACACACACACACACACACACACACACACACACACACACACACACACACACACAAATACATAATGCACAACAAACTTCTTGCTGCAATTGTTGCTTGCAATGTTCTCATGATGTTCTTGCGATTGTGCGGGAGTCCAATCTCATCCATTGCAACACAATCTTTTTTTGTTTTTTTTTTCTCACGATGGATTCAGATTCACCCCAAAAAGATGAAATATACCCCCAAGTGTTCATGAACTCTTTGTCCAAGTCACACAAGTGGCTGGAACAGGCAAGTATGGCGCCTACTGGTAAATCGATGGAAGCTCAGAGGTGAAAATATATCACTGTGATGAACTAAGAGATGTGAGAAAAAGTAGTAAATTGATTGCAGGCATGGAGATCCATGGAGATCCATCGATTTTGATCAGACTTGATGGCTCAATATGTAAATTGCGGATAATATAGATTAAACCTAGGCTACCAGAGTGGCCCGGGGCTATTTGGTAAAGAATTTCGATGTGACCCTGAGGCAAAAGTTGTTCAGTTTATTTTTCTGCATAACGCGGTTTTTTTTCCGGATGATTTTTATCATTTTTTTTTTTTTTTTTGCTGGGACCTTCCCTGGTTCTTGCACGGCCGGGCCGCCCGGGAAAACAGGGTGGCCCTGGCGGCCCGGCTGGTATCCTAGGATTAAACTTCATTAAAAGGGTAAATTGTCTGCCTTTCAAGCAGGGGATATGAGTTTTGAATTTGGAACATTTTTAACTCATTAGCTCTCATCTTATCTGAGGTCAATATCATGCTGCTTGTTGATTGAACTTGATTCTCCTTATTAAGTTTTTATTTCTTTTTTAATTGATTGCCGGACCACAGGGCCAAGAGCGAGGGAGAAGCGGTCGTCTTTACTCACACCGAGCTTCTGAACGTGGGTGTGTGTGTGTGTGTGTCTGTGTCTGTGTCTGTGTCTGTGTCTGTGTCTGTGTAGCTGGATGCGTGTTTGTGTGTGCGTGCGGATGTGCATGCGTGTGTGTGTGCAGGTGTCTTGTGCAATTTATTTTTGTGTGTGTGTGTTTTTTTTCTTTTCTTTCTTTTCTCTACAGAGTAGCTGGAGATCAATCATACAGCCGCCGATGCAGTGTACTCACGAAGCGGAATGCAGACTGGACTGCGTGCATTATTTTGGCGCTCTTAGATTTTGTGGCAATAAATAGAAAGATAGCCAAGTAGCAAAGTATTAAGTAGAGCAATTTCTCGGATTGCCAGAAAAATCTCTTCTGGCGATAAATTAAATCATATTAAAATGACAGCCTTAGGTGTTAAGTTTCCAGTATGAATTGCTCGGATCGTCGATCACGGTCAAGCTCTCTCTTTTTTGTAGGTTGGTTCGTTTGGAAGTCAGCGAATTTTCAGTCAAGTGAGTATATTATTCGATGTCCATTTTCTCTCTGACTTTAACTCAGACGTACCTGGCCACCATCACGGTCATATTCAGTCATTCCAAAGATCCTTTTCTGAGATTCCCGAAATCAGGAGGACGATCAACATCGTTTTGACGATGCTGAGGGCTTACTTACACTGAGGTGCATCTGACCATCATAACGACCACATTCAGTCCAAACACATCCTGACGATGATGTCGATTCTCAGAGAACACAAAACTTCTCGTTGTTCTCCTGCGTCCTTGGCGCCTTCAACAGAAACCGTTTTTTTTTTGTTTTTTTTTTCTTCTTTTTTCTGTGAACAAGTGAGAAACTAATAATTTAGTCATATCAGTAAATAAACTCAAATAGTCCATTTCCATCTTTGCCCTTCTGTCAATAAGTGAGAGGGTAGTAAATAAAGTTTCATCGTCTCGGTAAATTTGATTTCTGACCGAGAGAAAGAGAAGTTTCTTCAGCAGGATGGAGAGATCCTCCTGTGCTGATTTCTGAGTGTCGTTCCTAGGAGTGGTTCCGGTCGTCCAGGTCTTTTTTTGCACATTCGGACTGATCTTTGCTGGCGTAGGCCCACAGCAGTTGGACATCACTAGCTGACACAGGCCAACAGCAGTTGCTTCTCCCTTGCTGATGTAGGTTAACAGCAGTTGCCCTAGGCCAACTTTTTCACTAGTTCTCTTTTTCACTAGTTCTTCCTAGCTGCAAGCAGTTGCGTGCAGTCTTTGTATAATTAATATTATCTGAAAAGTTGTATATATATTATATATATGAAAAGTGTTCCCTAGCTGTAAACACTATGTATGCATAGATATCCCATATTTGTAGGGGGTACATCTATAGATGTGTATATATCCGATTATTGTATCGTCGTATTGTCATACGAATAGGTATGCTGTTTGAAGGTACATCATTATATGTGTATATATCGCCGTGGAGAAATGTCTGGTAAACCGTAGGCAGAGAGGGAGAAGAAGACGACAAACGAGGGGCCGTTAGATGTGTACGCATATGTTATATAGTCATTCCTCTATTCATCATGTGTATATAAATAATATAATAACTATCTATCGTCGGCGTGCAAAGGGGGGGGGGATTATCAGGAACATAGAAATGTATATAATATGTTGATCACAGCAGATGTTTGCAGACAATAGTAATTGTGCATAAAAGAGGCTGTTAGTACTCGAGCTGTCACATAAGCACACACCGCTTTCTTCAACTTCTCATCTACAGAGCGCGTCTGTGTTCCTTCTTCTTTTTTTCCCTGACTCTGACATTCCATATCGAGTCCCATTTTACTCTTTTTTTTTTCTACCTCCTGGTCGCCTTCGTATCCGGAGTTATCGTGGATTCCGATGGAGGAGGCGGCGCTCCCTCCGTATTTGTAGTTGATCTGGAGGGAACACTAATACCTTCATCAGCAGTGCGACCACCTCCTTGAAAGTGGTGATAGTTGAGAGGTAAGGTCACTGGGATTGATTGATTGATTGATTGATTGATTGGTTGATTGATTGATTGATTGATTGATTGGATTGATTGATTGGATTGATTGATTGGATTGATCGATTGATTGAGTGAGTGAGTGAGTGAGTGATTGTCAGAAATCAGGTTGTTGTTGATGATGATGGAGGAGGAGGAGGTGAATTTGGAGAGCATTCCGGGCTACGAGGCGATACTTCTTATGGTGTTCGAGCACCTAGCAGATGCTCGCGACCTTGTGAATGCGTCGATGGTGTGTAGGAAATGGCAACAGCTTGCGAATCAGGCAAGGCAGCATCTGAAGCTGCAGTGGGGGTCTTTGTTTGTCCAGGAGCGTCCTGAGCGCACATTGCAGGTCCTCCTTGAAAGGTGGCCGTACTTGCGATCGGTTGAGCTGGATGCAAGCTGGAAGCCACCCACGTGCGGGTTCAATTTCTCCGGCGAGTCGCTCACCCTCGTTGCGAACCACTGTCGCCAGACGCTGCAGGAAATCGTCCTCGTCGCGTGCGCTGAGATCGACATTGCGTCATTGAACGACTTGCTGGGAATGTGCCAGAACCTTCGGAAGGTGCAGTTGTACAAAATGGATTTGCGGCAGACACGCTTGTGTCACTGCGAACACGTTCACTGTTGTCGCTGCTCCATCGACGACCAGCTGTGGGAATCCATAGCCCAGCTGCGATGCCTCACCCACCTGAGCTTAGAGCGCTGTAGAGGACGAATCACAGCGCAACAGCTGGGCAGGCTGTGGGCAGCCCGTTCGATGCAGCTTCAGTCTCTGGCCTTAGATGTCACCATGCTGGATGCAGACGATCAACTGCCGTCATCTCCCGATGCGCTCGGCATGCCGCCTGCTCCCCCGCTCTCCCTGCCAGCTGCGCATTCCTCCCCGCCTCGGTTCCCACTCACTGCAACGCCATCGTCGTCGTCGTCGTCGTCGTCGTCATCATCAGCAGGATTATGGCCGCTGAATGCAAGCCCATCGCCGTCCGAGTCCCTGGGACCACACTTGGGTCAGATGACGACTTCCCTTTCGCCGAGGACAACCGGCGGCTGGACGGGAACGGGAACGGGGATGATCGGACAACCAAGGGATTCGATGTTAAGCTCGTTGGCGTGTCACAATTTGGTTCAGCGGGGGAGCAGAACTGCGATACAGACGGCAAGAAGTTCCTTGGAGACAGTCAAATGGCTTCGTTCTGACACTGGGGGAGACGCTATGGCACTCATGCGGATGTTACAGACGTCTTATCATCTACAGGCCCTTCATTTGTACAATTGCACGCTCACGCGCACAATGCTGTGCAGTATGTTGAGGTCTGTGAGCGGTAGCTTGCGGCATTTGCGAATCGATGCGTGCCGGCATCACCACATTCAGCCCTTCCAGTTCATCCCTCTTCTTCCGTTTCCTGAAGTCGTTTGCCCACGATTACAGCAGCTTGAGGTCTATGGAACCCAATGTGTTGGATCGCTGGTGGATATCGCCGCCGCTTGCCCGGCGTTGACCAAGTTGGGTATTACCGTTGACTTCCTCGTGCCCGTGTTGGTTCGCGATCCTCCTACGTCGAACACCTGTGGCTTTGTGAGATTGCTGAAATCCCACCGGTCGCTTCGGGAGCTTGAATTACTGCTTAACAACAGCCGCGCGTTTCAGAACTGGTTTCTGCTGCCAAACGGGGAAGTGGCAGGTGAGTTAACAGGGTGTTTGACCCGATTGCAGGTCGGTGCGCTTGGGTGGCGTGACGCGAGACTGGTGACATTGGCACGTCTCAGTGCCTCAAGCCTTCGTGTGCTCGATCTACGCGATGCGGCATGCATCTGTGACGACGGGAGCAGCAGCATACCTGTTTCCGTCTGTCGAATCTTCAGTGTTTGTTTCGCCAAGCTGCAGGTCCTCATACTCAGCCGATTCCCAACTCCCTGCTGCAACGGTGCTGCCGACGATGACGTCTTGGCCGCGCTCGGGCGCAACTGCCCGGCGCTCGAGGAGCTGACAATATCCTGCGTCACAGATCCCAGCCGGATCTCAGCGCAAGGGTTCGACAGCCTCGTCGGCGGCTGCCCAAGGCTTTCATACGTAAGAATCTGCGGGATGGCCGAAGTGCTTCCGGCGGCCATCTCTGCCCTCGGAGCCGGTTGCAAGCGCCTGAAGAGGCTTCATCTTGCGGGTTTCCGTTTCACTGCTGCTTTGCTGGCCACCATAGCCATGGACTTCTCTGAACTTCTGGAATTGGCCCTCTTCTTTGCCACCATCCAGGTCAACGAACTGGTCGACGGCTTGAGGGTGATAAATAAAGGTTGCCAGAAACTAAGGGGGGTCACTGTGGAGGGCTTTCTGGAATGGAAGGGGCATAATCCCCTTCGACAACTAATAAATGAATCTTTCCCACACGACCGCAACATCGTCCTCCGTACCCTGCTCACAACTCTGATGGTCTGAAAACGGGAATCTCCTTTTCTAAAGCTTCTTGTTGCGGTAGGTAGGCAGGCAGATACTGTCGAATGGTGAGAGGGCGGAGGGCGGGGGGCAATGGCGGGGGACTGGTGTCGAGGGGGATTGGGGCGTGAGAGGCTGAGAGCCACAGGGTGACAGAAGGGGGCCTCTGTTGACCAATTTCCTTTTTTGGTCAAAATGGAAGTACCGACATGT